TCCTCGCTCGCGGATTTTCTTCTTTCTTCTACCCTGAAGTTGGAGGCGATACGTTCCTCCGAAACGTCGGTTAACACAATATCTACACCGGGCCACATACCAGAAGACAGCTTTCTTCATAGTCACCACCGCGAAAACCTTAAATCTTACATAGTATTTTTCTTCTTCTAAATTGTAAGCCAATTGACTTGTTCTGAGACAGAAATCTTTGCACTGTGTATCCATCACAAAAACTGTCGATTAATCTTCCTTGTCTAAATAATCAGCTCCTTATTGTTAGATTCTTTTGCGTTTTCCATGTGCTGCATATAGCTACTGCTACGCTTTGAACAGCAAATGAAAAGTAAAGAAATTTAACACGCAAGATATCAGTTATTTTCCAAAGCAAACAAATTATGGTGAAGTAATTTACAGAGGAATTAGAATAATTACTGAGATCGTAAAGAGATACGTACGAATTTTCTTGAAGTTGATAACGAGGTACAATTAAAATAATAGTGTATTACGGGAAGAGCGTACGATACACTCCGTGGCATGCGCTCGAAACAAAATAACAGCTGCCGGCCACATTACGTGCCGCACGCTCCTGACATCTTGTGACGGAAATATTAACTGTAACATTTCGTTTTTTTTTTAATAATGGTGTCTGAAGGCGCTAAGCTGGGCGTGTGTTTGTTGTGAAGTTCCTAGTGGCTTGAGGTGAGCACGCATATATATTATTTTGTCTTAAGTTTCATTAATTCTGTGTTCATTTCGAAATTCATTTTGTCACGTGGGTTAAAATGAGATAAAGCCATTTTCTAATCCTCCGTATTGTGCTGCGGAACTTCCACATGGTTCCATAGGTTTGCCTTACTTAACAAATGTTAAATTTCTGACTGTGTTTTGTTTTGAGTCATAGTTAAATTGCCTCACTTCAGACCGCCTCTGTGGTCTAGTGGTCAAAGTTCCTGGCTACAGATCCAGAGATCCGGGTTCGATTCCCGGCGCTACCAGATTTTCTGAGAAATAATGGGCCTCAAATGGGGTCCACTCAGCCTCATGAGGATAGTTGAGGAGCTATTTCAAGGACATAGCGGCTCCGGTCCAAAAAATAGAAATTAACGGCCCTGTAATTCGTTTAGCTGACCACACAACACCCTCTAGCCACTAAAGTTGGCACTAACTTCGCCGACAAGCTGTGGTACCTCGGTCGGTATAGTTCGCTTGCGGACTACAGGCCACGGAGAAATGTAATAATTACAGTAATCTTTACAGTGTTATAATTGTTGTAATTACGACTTGTGAGTGTCCAATAAATCTATTCATCTAATCCATAACCCATTATTATTATTAGTCACGCTAAACACCTTATACGTGACTATGTATACCTGCTCAATATCGTCTCCCAAACTCCTAGCAGCCCTGGCTAACCCGGAACACATGAGATACCAGAACACTGACATAAGTGCCATGTGGCTTCCTGACAATACAGTGATGCAGTACTGCCAACTCCTGAGACGGTGGTCCATCAGACCATAAGTTATGTTTGCGCACACAGGAAGAACCAGGATCATCGCCACGAAATAGCGCGTTCTTTGTCTCAGACCTAAGTCCATAGTTTTGCCAGTCACTCGACTGAACTCCTCCTGAAATATGAGAATGAGAAGAGTTAGAAGCCTTCACCCCTTCCCTAATACATCTTAGTATTACACACTGTTCTTCTTCCGCAACTTATGGAATCTTCCATTTCAGAAATAACTTCTGAAACTTAGAATCTTAGGACTTGCATGTGTGATCCGTCCAGTGCAAGGCCTCTGCCAACACAGGACATAACAAAGTACTCATATCCATACCCTGAGTGAGATTCGAACCCGCGACTCAAGTAACCGATGGGCCGAAAATAATACGTAATCTAAAAAAATTCGCTTAGTGGGGGGTGGAGTCCAACTGGGTCCACTCGGCACGGCGGCCACTGATTGGCCTATTGTAGCTTGTCCTGGGTGATTATGATGATGGAGAATTTGGTGGAATTAAGATTGGCAGGGGAAACCGAAGTACTCGGAGAAAACCCACCCCAGCGCCACTTTATCCACCACAAATGCCACTTGACCAGACACGGGATAGAACCCTGGCCGCCGCGGTGGGAAGCCAGCGACTGACCACTTGAGCTATGTCGCGGCCATACCTAACCTAAATAGCGTGGCCGCAGATATCGGCCGATGTACATTTCCTAAGATTGGCCTTGTGTTCAGTTATGTCGTATAAAACTTACTGCACAGGAAAAAAAAAACTAGTTGCACTAAACTGAAAGAAGTGGAAATCCGGGGATTAATTACCACGTTTACAAATGCCCACTACTGGTCTGTAACATGAGCCAGATAAATCCAATCCATACACTTGCGTTCTCTTTACGTAAGAATGTATTTAAAATCATCCTTTGTCACGTGTTCGAAGGTTGTATTAGCAACTTCGGTTATTGTGCTCTATGAAATAAAACTTTATATCGTTTCGTGTGCAAGAAGATAAAATATATTTACCTGAAAGTTTCCCCAACTGTTGATGAACTGGATTCTTTTCCAAATTTCTGTGCAGTGCAGAAATGGCAGAACAGTCAGGAACATAAATCCTGATGACCACACCATTTCCATTACAACTTCTTCTAAAGTGCTGTCCGAAAGTAACAGTTTTACGACTGTCAGTTTGAGTGAGAACACGGTTCCCGCGGTGGTTACAGCCAGAAATATGGCTGAACATAAAGTCATTCTGGACAATAACTTGAATGCCAGTTTACCTGCAACACGAAACTCGTTTGACAATGTTTCTTTCTTTACATATTTTACCCCTCAAAACTCAAAACCCTAAGCGCATACTTCTGTAGATGAAAACTTTGCATATTGCCACATTCTCCTCTTCCCGGTCTGTAATATCTGTGACGTCACATCACGTCATAACTTTCACACGGAAGAAAATTTCATCGTGTTAAACGAGATATCCAGTATTGTTATTTATTATTATAGAAACTAGAAACGGTTTGCGACACTATCGGATAATGACGCAACCTCAAAGAAGACTCAGTTTACCACACATAGCTCATCAGCTCCAAATTCTGACTAGCGACATGTCCGGTCTACAAAACCGAGATTAACAACCATGGGGATCCGTTGCGCTGACCATGCGACACTCTATCCGCAGAAGTTGGCACTATGCCGACGAAGCGGCGGTCGCTCTGTCGGTATAGTTCGCTTGCGGATTAATACCACAAAGTTTGTTTGTATGACAATGGTATTTTAATAACACACACCACACTCATAGAAAACACGGCACACAAATTCCTTGTACGCTTCAAATATTTGATAATATTAATATTGTAATTCTCACATTGTAACTTAAGGCATTACTTTTATAACATGGACGCATTGCACCAAATGTGGATCCATATTGGGAGTTCAGTTAAACTTACTCTTATTTTACTGCCTGATGATGGTCCCATGAGGACCCAAACATGTAGCGGTAAGAAATAAAATTAAATCTAAGTATTATTGTTTGATTGAAAACTATTTTTGTTGTGGTGATGGATAAGCTTACTTAATGGTTAGCAGTCAAACATTAAGAGCAGGAAGGAGAAGAAGACATAATATAAACAAAAAGAAACTCCGTGGCCTGTAGTCCGCAAGCGAACTATACCGATTGAGTGACCACCGCTTGTCGGTGAAGTTAGTGCCAACTTTTGCGGATAGAGGGTGTCGCATGGTCAGCGCAACGAATCCCGACGGCCGTTAATCTCGGTGTTTCTAGACTGGAGGAAAAAACGTATATGTGTATATTAAATTTATAGAACATTAAGTGGAAGATCCACTACAGGAACTTACCTGTTGGGTCCACGTGATAAGGGAAGATCCCAAAAAGTTTTTGTACGAAAAATAATGGCCACAGTTCTTGAAAGAACCCATTTGTTGGTGCGTGCTTTTGTCGGGAAGGTGCGTGAGACGTTGGTGGGTAAAACAGTTGCTCTCCAAACGGATGTACAGTAGATTTTGAAGTTATAAATTCTGGAGAAACACCGACTTGTCTTCCTGAAGTAATCATCTCTCTTCTGTGTTTCTCAGCTTCAGCTGTTAAAAAGTAAAAGAAATATTTTCGTATAGAATTAACATATTACATAATTTATTTGTAAGATTTTCAAGGCATCATGCATGTTGTGGTCTTCTGAATTGTGTCATCGCATAGTCTTGTAAGCAGATTCGGAGGAAGATGATGCTTCCATCTTCAGATTTAAAGATTTAGGCAACATATTTCTCTGAAACGTTGGTAACCGCCCACACGACTACACAGGTGTCACGACGTAAGAGAGTAAATCTTTTACCCTGAAGATGGAAGCGGTAGGCCGTCACAAACATCGGAACTTCTTTACCAAATTACGCTACGTAATGTGAAGGAATCTCTTATCTCACTTCTTCCAACGTACTTTTCTGAAATCCTTTTAATATTATCCACGTTGTCTTATGAAAACAACACTATTTTATTTTTAGATCGTAAGCATACCGTCTATAATTTAAAAATAACCTTATACAAAAACACTAAAAATATGTTTAATACAGAAATGTGTTTGTTAAATACTTTAAAATGTTATTAAATTTTGAACAAATACTTTTAGTGTATTAAATATATTTTTAGTGTCTTTTATACAAGGTTATTGTTGCATTATAGATGGTATGCTTACGATCGAAAAATGATGCCATAATGCAACAGGATGTACAAATATAACAGCAGTTTACATTTTGTACGCTTGTTAAATGCCCCCCCCCTCTAACCCTTTAGTCTGTATTAGATCACCGTAATGTTTAGAGGAAGTATTTTAGTTTACCTAGTCTTTCCAGCCGCACTATGTCCCTGGGGTCGACTCAGCCTCTAACAGAAATGAGTACCAGGAATTTTTCTGGGGTAAAGGGCGGCCGGTGCGTAAGGCTGACACCCTCACCGCNGGAGCACAGTTGAAACGGAGGAGATTATGAAAACCGCCGCACACCGTTCTGACTCATGATGCTGACGTCAGCTTCATGCTGACGAATCAGAAATGAAGAAAGACTGCGTCTTTTGTCTCATGTCTTGACGAAGTCGGTGTGTGCCCACCGTAAGAGAAATTTGCCTACGATAGCAATATAGTACGTTCGGCGGGGAAGAAGAAACGTTGGGAGACCTAAAAGAAGGTGGTTTGATCAGCAGTGATACCCGTAACAGGCCCTGGCAGTCTATAAGAAGAATAAGAATCAAATCGTGACGTAACAGTACATTCACACATCGCGACAGAAGCAGCTCCGTTAAGTGACTTCATTCATTTGCCAGGAACAAGCGCACAAGTCTCCATATTGTACGGTTCAGAACACATTTACTAAAAATTACGAGTTTATTATGCTTGTAGCAGACCAGTGTTACTTGCAATTAAAAGGTGAAATGCGTGTGTCGTCTCATCGCGATGTGTACACTGCAGTCCACGTAGAGTGTTCCCGATATTAACACGGGGACAGACCCCCCCCTTGCGGAGTTTTGAAATATGTTATCATTCCCAGAAGCAATTACTTATCACGGTCCCTCTCCTTCTGATAATGTCTTACACTAATAACGGTATATTCAGTAGGGAGTTCTGACAAAGTATACAATCACCTTAACAGTCTTTATAAAAAGAAAACATTGTATTTTATTTTAACGTGTCGAGACCTACTGTAAAGATATAATAAAAGCAAAGTTTTCCTTGTAACAGCTTGTCAAAGCCCATAGGTTTGTGAGACGTCGAGGCTCCCACATTTTCTTGACAATCGGCTTACAGATGGCGGTGAGGTTGTCAGTCTTAAGCACCGGCCATCCTTTACCCCCCAGGAAGAATCCTGGTACTCATTTCTGTTAGAGGCTAAGTCGACGCCAGGGCCATAGTGCGGCTGGGAGGGTTAGGTTAATTGAAAAATCAACAAACTGAAAATGGTGTACCCCGTTTTGTAAGAGGTGGCAATATATTTGTCCCCTTGCTTAATTAATTAAGCAGCATATCATGCACACTTATGGGAGATTGGAAATCCGTGTACTCTTAACCTCGGCAATGGATGTATGTTCACCTTCAAGCCCCGGCCGCTTTACCTCTAACTTTGTGGAGAAGAAGAGTTGCTCTTATTTCTGCGAGGAATCGAAACCAGGTACCTCGGCTGTCCAGTCCATCGCTCTACCCACTAAAAATTTTGTCTCTCACTCCATAATATTGTAACGTGTTTTGCGTTACCGAAGACGCCGTAGAGATGTTTAATTGGTTTATTTAACGATCTACAACTAACGGCTACAATTAATTATCACACAGTTGCGGGGTTTCACACTTTATAACCCTAATCGCATTAATCTGTCGACACTGTTGCGGGGTTTCACGACTTATAACCCTATGCGCAAATCAGTTCACTCTGTCTTCAGTAGTCCACACGTTTACCGTAGGGGAGCTTTGTATCACTGTATCACACGCTCCCAATTACACAATTACACACACGTCCGGATCTTCTTTCCGCGNTGAGAAAGACTGCACTGGCAAGGCTCAGCAGCATATGTAAAAGACAGACCCCACCTCTCGTCAGAGAGGGACTCCCACAAAAACAAGACCGTGGCTGTCAAACAGTAATAAATATTCAGAGAGAATTTGAGGGAGGAAGCAGAGGAACAGCCATTGTTGGAACCGTTACTAGGAGACGTCAAGTAACAGAGGACACTAGACTGTGTGATCTATTAAACTGCAAAGTATGGAAATAGCGATAGTGTTATAGTTATTTGTAGTTACGATCTGTAAGTGGTCAATAAATCCAGTTATCCATATCTATAACCACTTGATACTATATGACAGTACCTTATGCAAAATTACCATGCGGAGTTCTTTGAAGTTTGTTTAATTTAGTTAAGTGCACCGGTAATGAAATTAAGAAATGGTCGATGTCTTGAGTATGCAGTTTCAACAAAATATTTGGAAGTGTTTATAGGATGCAAAGAAAACTGTCTCAACGTGCTCTGTAGGAGCGATCAACATAGTGTAAGCTCTAAAACTATGACCACACCACAGTTCAAGCGGTTAGTCTCTGGCTTCCCACCGCGGCGGCCCGATTTCGATCCCGGGTCTGGTCAAGTGAGATTTATGGTGGACAAAGTGGCGCTGGGGCAGGTTTTCTCCGAGTACTTCGGTTTCCCCTGCCAATCTTCATTCCACCAATTGCTCCACAATCACCCTCACCTATCATCTCGGGCTGGTACAATAGGTGAGAAGTGGCCGCAGTACAAGGTACTTAGTCCCACCCCACCAGCAATAAAAAAAAATAGTCTCGTAGTTGAATATGTCGGTTCACACTTCCTCAGTCAACCATTTACTTAGATAGAGGAAGAGCCAGTTGGTTATTTAGTTACCCGAGTAGTTATTTTATTAGTTAGATAGTTCTTCAGTTAATGGGTCGCTTAATTTGATTGTTAGTTAGATAAACAGTCGCTCACTTGTTCACTGAGTCGTATAAAATTAGAATAGTTCCTGACAGTTCATGAGACAATTAGTCCGATTTCTCAGTCAGTTGTCTTGATAGTTCATTAGTTAAGTGTTTAATCCGTTTTTTATCTCTCATCCATCTGTCTGATAACGTATGGTCAGTACAAGCTTTTATCAAATTAATGTTTATGTACTGCCTACTGCCTGTCAGATCTGCCTGCCTTAAGC